TTTTTTTTTTTTTTTTTTTTTTTGATGAAATAAGAGTACATTGTAGATAAAAATATAAGTTAATTAATTATTAAAAATTGTTTCATAGAATGTAATAATAAACGTAATAATAAGCTTATTTTTTTAATTTTAATGTTTCAATTACACTCGTACAATAATAATACTTACATATCGTTTTCATAAATGGTATGCATGAATAGTTTTTTGTTGAAAATAGAAATGCAATAAGAAAAAGAAATTCGATGTTAGTTTTATGATAAATATATTAATAAGCTTCTGTTCAGAATACCTGGGAAATGAATATTTGGTTTATTTCTTGCGATATTGACTTTAATAACTGAAATAAAATTTCCAAACGTTGCTTAAGATTTCTGTTAAATGTATCAAGAACATTAAGGGGTGGAGAGTATGTATACCTGCAGGATCTTGTTGCATCTTTTGTTTAGTTTTCGAGAAGGAACTTCAATCCTCAAATACATTAACGAAGCCGTCTAGCTTCTCTTTCAGATTCTAAAAGCGTTAGAATGTCTCCTTCTCGTACGGGGCCCTTCACGTTTCGGATTAACTGTCTATTTTGTTCGTTCAAAAACTCCACTTTGACTTGCGTACATTGTCCTTGAGAACCCGTTCTGCCGAGGACCTTTACTACCCTTGCACGAACTATGGGTTTCTCCATGCTTTATAGTTGTTAAAATTTTTTTGAAATTCCGATGCTTTATTGCACAATTGCGATACTTTCGCAACGAATTCTATAAACTACACTCAGTGTCCTACCAACTTGATTACGCGATTTCTAATAGAATTAAAAAATATACATATTGAAGGATATTTGAAATGCTTGTCGCATAGTGGAAAAAAGAAAAAAATAGAATAGATCTTATAGTCTTAGAAAAAGATAATATTACAAATTTTGGCATACCGTATCAAAATAATTAATTTTATTTTACAACATTTTAATCTTAAATTGTAAGGAATGGAAAATTTAAGACGTATTACTTTGGCAGCATTGCTAAAAGCGAGCTTAAAATAACTTCTATTCCTGCATTAGATTGGTCGCTTATACACCACGTGCTCTCGACGAAATCTTTCAGTTACAATTTCGAAGTTTCTATGTTTCAAGCATGCCAAGTTAAATCAGTTATCAATATCGAATACAATCGAATTTCGAATAAAAGTCAACATCGTTGTGTTTTTACATATTATACAGATGTTTTTATTCATTTGTGCTTTAGTATAAACATGTCGTCCCTTACTTAGAATAGTAGATTGGAAACTTTGTTTCGCAAGGATTTGTATTGATGATATCCTCCTTCCCGCGTGTACATCATATCATTTGTTAAAGCTTTTTCCTCCTTTTTACACACTTATCTTTATTTGTTTTCGATGTTTACACACACAAACACACAGCCTTACACACACGTATACCCTTTTGGTTATATAAAATTACAATATTTGAAAAAAGTGTCATGAATTGTATGCGATACATGGTCGGACAATATACGTTCATTGTACATTGTACATGTGAAGTATGCGTCCTAAAAGCGAAAACATCTTAATCGGAATTTTTCTATGCCGCGTACCTACATGTATATATGCAGACATAATATTATGCTATTCAAATTCATTCTGCTCGCAAGATGGTCACGTGCAATTAAAAATTTGCTTGTTCGTTATTACAGTCTCAGTTCTCGCGAGCCTTGAACACAATATGCGCGGATTCATGTATGATTAAATCTTATGATTTTACCGATCATTTGTTAATAGTTCATTCAATTATGAATTATGCAGCGTTATGCGTAGAAAGGATAATTAAAGATTTGTAAAAAATTAAAAAAAAAACAAATAAATTAAGAATGCAATGTATGTGAATGTGAAATCTATTGTTTGACCATACCAATACATGTGTTTAAACCTTGGTTCAGTATAGGTAAATATATATTTTCTATGTATTATTTTTATGAACAAAATTATTAAGAATACATGTAGAGTTGACTATACAGAGCAATTACTTTATTTCAAATTTTGTACATCTCACTTTTTTTTATGTTATGGATGCGAACCAAAGGTTTAAACAGATATTTCATTCATTTTCAAAATGGGAACTGTTACATTCTGATCCGATTCAATTTCAGTTTCCTATTACCTCACGTCCGTTAATCCTTATGTTTATACTATCTTATATGTACATTTCATAAAGCTTTATTTTTGAACGTTAAACAATTATTTTCCGATACTGAATCACAGACATTCCAAATTATTATTACTAGAACACATACAGAATGAAATAAAAGTATTTATGTCGTAATGTCGATTTTAAACATTTGTTTACGGTTTGCTTTACAATGGCAAAAATGAAACAAGGATAAAATATTCGCACGTATGTTATCTGTTACTATAGTGCGTCGTTGTTTCTTGATTACATATATTTGGTTAATTTCTTTACTTATGTATAACAATAAGTAAAAATATAAATGACAATTATACAGCAAATCTAAAAATATGGAAATTTCTGGCCTATTGCTTTCTCTATTCTCCATGATTCATAAATTATTTTTTTATACAATGTATATGCAAAGCACAAGTTATTTACTGGTAATAACATCATCGTTCGATAGCAGTCTCACAAAATTTGTGATCAAACTAATTCTTAAACTCGAATAAGAAGAAACAAATTAATGTTTTGTTATATTTAAAATAAGTTGATTAAGAGTAAAGAAGTGACTTTCTGAGAAACTATAAGTATTCAGAATGCCTGTAATAAGTACTGTCAAAATTACGTTGCAATTACATTAAAGATACTGAATATATATCAGAAAACAATTTGAATGTAATTCACCTCTACCATCACGATAAAGTAGATAATAATTTTCTTTAAACAAAAAAGTACTAACAATAAGTTAGATTTATATTTGATATTGAAATATAAAAATATTTATATGATGATATTTTAATCTATATGATTATCTGTCCAAAATTGGAAAACTTAAACTTAAGTGTAACAATATCAAATAACTGTAAAACACTAAGATTATTCTGTCCTCAAAATAGCGTGTGTTTACATATTACGAATATTAAGGTATTATATCATTACATATTACGAAACGCTACAACATGAGATCTAATTCAAGTCAAAGGAGTCAAAGGAGAAGTCTATGAATTTTTTTTCTTTCCGTTTTTTATTTTCTCAGTTATCGGATAAACGAACCTAATGATAAGAACAATGCATAGGCCGTAAAAAAAAAAAAAAATTCCTGTAAAAGTTTCCAAAACCAGAATAATCTTGTTAAATTTGTTACACCCCCAAATGCCTAATTTGCTTTCTTCGTTTTTACTTCTAACTTTTTTTTTCTTTTCTTTCTTTCGCTTTTTCTTTTTTTTTTTTTTTTTTTTAAATAATATACTCTTCACCTTCCTAATTAAACAACGTAGTAAATGTAACAATGTTCAGCACTCCAGACTTAGAAGCAAACGCACAGGCAGCTAGTGATTGGTCAGGTGTGAGCTTTTTACAATATAATGTTTCATCATTTTTCTTGATCGCTTAAATGTTGTAATTATTGAATTATCTATATATGGAATGACAATATGGTTAAGAATTGCTCGCGATCTCGTAAGAAATCATTTAATACAAATATGTATTTTAGTATCTCGCTGATATACGTAAGTATCGGACATGCATATGTAA